AATCTAATCTTTGTCATTCTCAATTGTAAACAGCAATCTCATGATACCCAACCATCAAACATGTATCTAAAAGATGTCTTGACCAAGACAGGGTTTGCATAAATATACCAGAAGATATATCTAAATATACCTTTAAGACCTCTAAAACCTATCTGTGATACGTCTGAAAAATGTCGTTTTATATATTCTAAATAGGTCGTCTAAAAGACATAATTTTTTTTTCATTTTTTTGAACGAACCTTTCTTATATCGATCACATTGGTTAAAAACACATTAAAAAAACATACACGAACTGATAACCATTCATTGTTGAGTTGTTTTATCTCTCTAACCTTACAATGTTTTTCATCACTAATTCTAAAAAAATCTGGTGCGCGCGAAATACACAACTTTCATTGACCGCTCAACTTAGAATAGAAATTATTTTCTGGCCATGTTGGGCTATTATAAAATTTTTGAATCGCATTTTTAACTGAGCTAAAGCTAAAAAAATACAGCTAACAAATCATAAATATCATTAAAATAACAAAAGTCCGATTTATTATATCACTGGTTGATTATGGATTGTACGACTATTAGTTATTAAACTGTTATTTTCCATTGCATAGTTTACTAAAACGCAATTAAGAGATTTGCATTATCTTTCATAGACATGTCAAAAGTTGTCACACTAATTGTAAGTGGATTCTGTTGGAATATCGCAAAAAGGAGAATTATCAAACTATTCACTAATTTAATTTTCTAAAAGGTTACATGATGATTTTTCGGAATAAACGGACGATAGATATCTAAATATTTAAATATATTATTAATATTTCTCTGTACAAATTTACTTGATGTATTCATACCAATACAGTTGTAAATATCATAAAAAAAAAAAAATATATATATATATATATAAATATATATAATATTTAATATGAATATATAAAATATTCATAACAATACTCTTACAAATTATCAACAATAAGCCATATTAAACAATAGATACAGCATAATAAACACTTTCCCAAAATAAAAATAAATTCCTTTTTTCTCTTTAAATTCTCAAACGCCAGGAACGCAATATAACATCGCACACATACATATATCACTGCAATTCCTTGAATGTAGCCAAAAAGATAAGACGATTATGGACCAATTTAAAATTTAATAAATAATTACTAAACTACAGTAAATGTATTTAATATTATAAACACATGATTTATACATCCATGAAATGATTTTATATTTTATTTCTTCTTTCACACATGTACACTAAAATAGTTTTTTTAACAATGCCATCAACTTGCTTAGGTGGATTTTAAATACATTTTTAAAAAATTAGCATTACCTTATTAACTCATTCAAAATTCAAAAAACCGAAACAAAGGATATAACCATTGCAGCAGAACGTATTAAAAAAAAACTAGAGACCATATCTTATCTCATAATAATCCGATTTTAACGATTTTTTTTTTGTTTTTTAGGCTATTCCATAAACTTTTAGAAAACCATATACAACATTCCCAAAAAAGTATATACTTTTTGAGTTATTCGGAATTTAATTTTACCATCCCTCGTAACTTTTTTTCAGCTTCTTTTCGCTAATGAATGTTATATAGATAAATTTGAAGGGTGTCGATAAAATGACTTTATCGAAGTTTCAATGAAATTGGTACATTAGTTTAGGCGCTACAGTGTATAGCTACGTTTTTCTGAATTTTTATTTTTTTTCTCCTTTATTAACTTATCAAATTCTTTCATATGTTATATTTAGCATTTTTTCGTAACTCTGAATAATGCGAAATAATTATCTTTTTAAAATAAACCATATTAAAGGTACTTTAGAGGAAGACGTATATGAACATTGGGCATTTAAGCCCTGTAAAGTGACATCAATGGGGATAAGACCTAATTTATATTAAAGACCACTTAATTATACAATGATACACCGAGTTTAATCAAAATCGTTAGAGCCGTTTTTGAGAAAACTGTGAAAATGTGTTTCAGCGTTGATATAAAGTGGCACTTCCGGTTAGCCGATTTTAAGGAAAAAGTTGCCGTCACAACTAAGGCATATACCTATCTTAAATACGTGATATCAGTTTCATAGGACTTTTCGTTTTTGAGCTAGACTGCTAACATACAAACACACAGACCATTTGTCGGGACTTGGTCATTTCGACTCAGGGTACCTCAAAACGTATAAATCCGTCGAAAACTCAGATTCAAAAACTTTCTTGATCGCAATACTTACACTTACTGTATATTACATATATACGTAAGTGAAAGTAAAAACACTTCAATTAATTGACCTGCATACTGTAAACAAGGGAAATTGTTTACAGTATGCAGGTCCGATTTTTAGTTTCTGAAATATTTATTCCCATATCTTCAATAAAACCCTGTAATTAACCCCTTAATCTAGACAATATCTTTTTCCTCTCTAACAAGGTGTTGAATTAACATGCAATTTTGAATATTAGCTAAGGTAAGCTAAGGTTATAAACGAATGTTATGACCATATAGTTATTATTATATGCATATTATCCATTTTTCTTCGTGATAACGATGTCGTTTAGATATCTGATTCAAAACATCTTTAAGATATCCGGTTTAAGAGATCTTTAAGAGATCTTTTAGCCACCTATAAAAAGTCATCAAGAAACAGTCATCTGTTAAATATATTTTTTCAAGATATCTAATAATAATTAAAACAAGATATATTTTAGATGTCTTTCAAACATCGATGCTGAGTCGGTCATAATTAATAAATGAGTGCCCTATTTACACACCCACAACCAAAACCTAAATTGGCTTAAAAGCCGGACTTAAAAGACCATTTTTCTGGTTCTTTTAAATATTGGAATCTACTTTTTTTTTTTTTTTTCAATATCTTAGTAACTTGAATTTAGCTTTAAAGTTAAAATTTTTAAAAAGAACTGCGGTATAAGTTCGTTTCAGAAGTGAACATTTACCAAACAGCCAATGGGATAGAAGAATTCTAATCATGAAAATGGTTGCCTGTTATTTCCAAATGGGAACATCATCATCAAAAGGCGCTTTTATTAAATTATATATTCATATAATTATATTGTTTTATTTCTGTTAGAACTTAAAGAAACTAATCATTATTTGATTTATCACATGTCTGAATTTGCCCTCAAAAAATCAAAATCCTGTAAAAATGTGCCTTCAACTATCAAAAATTGTAAGGCACAAATTAGGACACACAACCATCTTCTAGTCATCCCTGTTTCTAATTAAAGAAATATTAATTTAATTACTTAGAAAATAAATAAAATCTAATTAGAATTAATTATGATTAACACTTTCATTGCAAACAAAAAAGAAAAAATACATAAAGCCTTAAAAAAAAAAAAATAAATGAAAGCAATATTTCTAAATAAAAATACTAGTATGATGTGCTTATTGGAAAGAGTTACTTCATCGTACAAATTTTTAATTAAATATTTTTGTATGATTATTTTTGAAACAAATTTATTTTTTAATAGTTAAATTTTTACATTAATATATTTTTATTATTATTATTATATTACTTATTAAGTATGACAATTTTTCTCTTTGGCATATGCCAATTTATTTATCTGTCCAGCCTTTTAAACTCTATGTCCCCTTCAGAGACATTTCTTTTCAATTCTTAATGTTTTTACTTTATCTCATATTCTTCTAATGCATGTTATTAAACATTTGTCTTCCTTTCTATATTCTATTTATCAATTTTATGTATCACTTGGTCAATTTTCATTATAAAACAAAACTCTTTCTTAAGTAAATTATTAAACATCAAATAATATAAGAATTATTATGTTGTTATTTGCTCAAAGAGGACAATAGAGTTATCAATAATTACATATCAATTCTGTATTTTATTTAATTGAACTAATAAACAAAATTTTGTTTGTCCAAGTAGAGTATTGAATCAAAAAGGTTGGGTTCAAATTACTTAGAGGACTCTTAAAAATTAAAAAAATCTGTCTAATATATTTTCCATTTTCTAGAGATGTATTTTGTTGATTCAAAGAATTTTATTCTTGATTGAAATATATTTTTTTTAAATAACAAGATCACAGTTCATAATGACAAATATGCGACTGATCATCTAATAGAGACATTGGAATTGAACGTCTATAACCTTAAAGACATTACTATACCGAAAATATAAAAACATAATAGAAATATAAAAGCAATGATTTGTTTTGTTCATGGAATAAAGATTGAGAAGCAAACAATACATAATATAACATATTTCTTTTAAAAATACTTTCTTTACATAGTATTATTAATATTATTATGGCTTCTAGATAAATCTCTTATAATTTGTAAGTAAATCGGAATGGCATTTTTGATTTAAGGCTTTAAGATTTCTTTCATTGCCAAGAGATTTAGGCATTAGGGTGAAATGGAAAACACTTTTTTCGACGGACAACTTTCTTATATAGTTCTCAAAAGTTGATTTTTTATGTCAATAGAAACACCTCAAAGTTTCAAATTTTTGTATCTATATTTTGTACAGAATAAAATACTCCAGTCAGGAGATGTAATAGTATTCAAAATCTTAAGTATTCAATGGTTTCCTTATTAAGCTTGTCAAATATCAATTTTTTCAAGGTATAAATATAATAAATAATTCATTTGTTACAACAAAATTGAAACTCATTGCAAAATTGTTGTTAATAATTATTAAAACACATGATGGTTAACTTTTGTAATGATGAACGGTTAAATTCAGTTTTATTTCATATTGTTTACCAATGTGAGTAACAGTTGAACAACCCAGTAAAGTGTCAACAAATAGGTTCCCTTCAGCTGTCTCAAAATTTTATTTTTTATTTTTATGCTTACCGAAAATTGTTGGAATAATTATTTTTAATATAATATGATTATATAGTGTTTTAAATACATAAGTATCAGTATCTAAATATATGAACTTTATTTGTAATAATTATTTTATTCCTTTTGTTTAGATGAGCAGTGACCGACACTAATAGAGCTAAATGATGTATAACATGAGCGGACCAGGACTGTTAGGGGTGGCAGAGAGTGGTGCCACCCCTCGCACACCAGAGATCCTCAACTCGCTGATGTCGATGACCAATCCATTCGACAGACTAAGAACAGCGACTGTTTCGCCACAGTCTGATGTCTCAAGCAGCCCTCCAAGTGTTCAGACTACCTGCTCCCAGTTGATCAAGGAAGGACTTAAACTTACCATTCAGACCAAGCGGAAAGCTCACAGTAGCAGCAGCTGTGGGGGCTCACCTCTTCTCAATCGAGACACTGCTGGCAGTCCGGACTCTCTATGTGAAAATTCGAATGAAGGGGTAAGTTTTTATTTTATGATATTGAATTTAATGAATTTATTAATTTATGTCAATCAAATTCTATGTGAATTGTTTAATTTATCATAAAATTACTGTTTAAATAGTTAATTTGCACATAAGTACACTTTTGCATAAATATATAGATAAATAAACCAATCTATAGTGTAATTTGTCTTGACAGCTCAATTGAAAATTAGTTAGTTGGGCCATTTTTACTAACACCACATGCATTCTTACTAAATGGAAAATCACTTTAAACCCAAATAATAGGAATAAAGTTTGGAGAATGTATTGGGACCACATTTAAAAATATTTTTCTCAATCCTAAATTTTATACTATAAAGTATCTTTACCCATGTTCCCTTCCATCATTAATATTTAATACATTTTTGTTATTATCCCAAACTCCTAACGAAGTTTTAATTTTGGTATAGTTGACACCAGAAGATGAAGAACGACGACGTAGAAGAAGAGAAAGAAATAAGATAGCGGCCACAAAGTGTCGTCAAAAGAAAAGAGAAAGGACCAATAACCTTGTTTATGTGAGTTATTTTAATTAGTTTTATATTCTAAATTTCATTTATGTCATTTTAGCACCAAGGTAAAAATAATGTTTAAGTAAACTGTTCAAAATATATATTTATTTCATGTAAAAGTAGTAAATTAAAGACAGTTTTATCCTTTTTTTGTAAAATAGATATAGTCATTACCATACGAGGATACCATGGCTCTTGCATAAACAATCCTCCTCAGCTTATACCTGTTAGAAGTTTGAAGGCCTCCTTCTCTTTTTTCTTCCAGCTGTGTCCCTCCATCATCATTTTAGAAAACATTGACCCATCTTAATTTATGCAGCAGCCATCTTATTCTATTCCTCTTCAGTGGATATAATTTGTGGTATTTCATATAAATTCCTTAGTACTTCATCCATCCAAAGATTTGCTTCTTTAGTTGGGCTAAATATTTTACAAAGGATATTTTACCCCACATAGTTAGCATTTTATCAAGAACTATCAATGTCCATGATTTGCTTCCGTAGACGAAAATTGGTAGCAGGACTGGAGGATGTAAACTCTTATTTTGAAAGATGTGGATATGTTTCAATTTCAAAATATTTTCATTAGAGCCCAATAAAACATGTTACCACCTGTTATCCATGACTATTTCTTTTTACTTCCACTCATCTATATATGTAGTATATAGTAAGTGTAAATATTGAGATCGTGAACATTTTTTAATCTGAGTTTTCAATGGAAATACACGTTTCGAGGTCCCCTGAGTCCAAATAACCAAGTCCTGAAAAATGGTCTGTGTGTATCGGAACACTCTAGCTCAAAATCGAAAAGTCGTACGAAACTGATATTACATATTTCAGATAGATATATGCCTTAGATGTCCTGTCAACTTTTTCCTTAAAATCGGCTAATCAGAAGTGCCACTTTATATTAACACTGAAACACATTTTTACAATTTTCTCAAAAACGGCTCTAACGATTTTAATTAAACTCGGTGTATCATTTTATAATTAACTGGTCTTTAATATCATTTAGGTGTTATCTCCCTTGATGTCACTTAACAGAGCTTAAATGCCCAATGTTCATATGCGTCTTCCTCTAAAGTACCTTTAATATGATTTATTTTAAATAATCAACTATATCTCATTATTAAAAGTTACGAAAAAATACTAAATATAACTTTTGAAAGAATTTGATAATTGGATAAAGGAGAAAAAAAGAAAAATGCTTATACAGGTTGAAAATGAATCTCCGGAAATACAAGTCAGAAGGTATATTCATAATATATCATTGGAAAGCAGAGAATTTTAGAAAAAACAATATATAATACAGAAAGTTGTAGAAGGTAACGGGGAGTGGCGAAAAACTATAAATAATTATTTTTGAAAACTGATAATATTTAACGTAAATCACATGTTTTCAAGGAAATTAAATTAAATTTACTAACTAAATGTAAAATTTAAAAAACATTTTCTAATTTTCTTATCCTCAGTTATAATAGTGCCCAGATTACTAAGACTTTAGTATTCTCTCGAGAGAGTATCCAGTCCTCTCAATATACCTGGTTCCCTCTTCTGCACTTGGATGTTAACGTACAGTGGTGTGAAAAAGTTTTTGAACAAATCAAACTTATATAAAAACGATAAACGTTTCAATTTAAAAGTATTTTTATCTTCTTAATTGTAAATTTATTTGACCTTGCAGACATTGTAAATGTAATCTATATTTAAATTATTATTGTTTCTTCTCACTCAATGTCACAAAAGGTATTAGATTCCCGAATTCCCAACAACTGTTAAACACCCTCAAAAAGTCTATATCCAGTGCCAGGGTTTTGTTTTAATTATCTCGAGTGTAAATAATCTAGTTCCCCGATAAAAAGCGGAAGGCTATTCGCTATTCCTGCCAAAACTTATTATTAACATTAAACTTTATTAGATTATTTACAAGATGAGGAAAATTCCTTAAATAGAAAGAGATAATATCTTAAATACATTTTTTTAAAACATTTTTACAGAACAAACTTGTATTTTCATTACAAACATTGTAGTTTCATATTTACATAATGGCATAATAATACTCTTTAATTTATATAACCATTTACATATCATTTTAACGAATTATATAATCAATTCTAACATTTTCAGGAGTCAGAAGCATTAGAAACTCAAAATCTGGATTTGAAATCCAAAATTCAAGAACTTGAAAAAGAAAGGCGGAAATTAGTTGATGTACTGTCAGTACACAAGCCAAACTGCAACAAACATCCATTTCCATCTACTTCTTCATCTTCTTCCTCTTCATCATCCTCTGTATATCAGGATTTTGGTCCTCGATCAGACTACAATCCATCTTGCTACCCTTCAAATTACGATATCATTTGTTCGAGCGAAACTCAAATTTCATACCACCGTAATTCAACAGTAATTGAAGAAATTGGATATCTGAACCCTTACTTATATAAAGACAGGAGTATGAGAGAGCCTATGAATCCATATAGTCGGTCAGAGGTAAGTGTATATTTCTTTTTTATTTAAATTTTTCGGGTGAGTTCTTTTATGATCCAGATATTTGCTTTAATGGTTATATTTAATCTTAGATACTTCTAGTGAATTTGGATCCACTTTGTAGTTTTTCTAATTATTTCTTCTTTTTGCTCTCAAAATTTTTCCTCTAATATTCTAATTTTATCCCATCAGAGAAATTCTTTTGTGGAGTGGAACCCAGCTTAACTCATGAAAAGGGGAATGTAACCACAAAAGACAAAAAGATAAAAAACATTTTTATGCTTTCTTTTAGAGCAACAAAATTTATTTCTAAACTAGTAGGCCTGTGCAAAAAATTCGCACAGCATATTGTTATCAAATGCCAAATCAATAAGAAAATAAAATAAAGCAACATATCAAAAGATAAAGTAATCAATTGTTACTTTATCGATAAATATAATCGACAAAGGAAACAAATTAATTTAAATTTTCATTTTTGGTAGGAACCAACATATTTACAAATTTCTATAAACTGTATCTTTGCAAAAAATTGTCCGATTTCAATTTTTTTTTTCCCTTTTGTAGACAATTTAGTAATGTTTTATATAATCATGGGAATAACCAAGGGAAAAGTGTGTAATTTTTTAGTAATTCGCAAATAAAGTTTCTTTTCTTTCATAACTTGTTTGCCTGAATTTTCGGGGTGATTGGTCTATTTTGCCCGCCTGAAGGAGAAGGAAGCCTTCGAATTTGGTAGCTTAATCTTCAGATTTGGTGAAGAATTAACGATGATACGGCTTGCCGATCAAAAACATCATCGATAAATAATATAAACTCCTCCTGTCTCGATCATAGAGATCTCAAGTCGACGAAATGAGACATGTATCCAATGACAGTACCACAATTAACGTCAGGTTATGTGGATGCGAACCCCATGCCTTGCGTTATCTTGAAAATAGTACGTTTTTGGGCTTAAAAACGCAGGATCCGATAGTTCCACAGGAACTATCCGGGTCTTGCTGTACGCATCAAAATCTTCAAGGTCCAATTTGTCCCGCATCGATCTACAGACCTACCACCGTTCCAGTATTGAAGCCCAACAAAATTTTTGTATCGACTTTATTTATTTTAGAAAGAAAAACAAAAGTGGAGAATACGATTCACTAACCCCCCGTGAAATTCTGAATCCAACGGTACCCCATTCATGGTATTTGAGCATGACAGGAGCTTGTATTTGGTACAAAAACGATTCCGAGCCTTACTGTAATAATATATGTGGGGATTTAAAGAGGGGCAGGATGGCTGATATATGTTGGACTTTTAACTCTGGCATTAATCCCACACCCTCTCCCCTGGCCCGGGGAAAACCCCATATAGCCTAAAAGGCAAGAAAGGGGTGGATAACAAATAAAATGCATTGAATGCAAATATTTTTAAATCAGTCCATAAACAATGGTTGTATTCCTAGTTGCTATGAACAAACATTAACTTTAAAATGATAAAAAAGAATTATTAAAAAAAATTCGTAATATGACTATAACTACTACTTTCTAATATAACCTATTAAAGATTTATTTGAAAGATAGTTCAATGGTCAATTTTACATTCATTAAAATATATAGTAATGATTCTAAATGTGTAACAAAAAATGTCATTTGGACCATCATTTAGAAGAGAATCCCTTTTATATCAATGAATTTCCTCAACTATGACTATAACTTGTGATTTACTATGTTTAACAAACTATTTATTAGCTAATTTAATTATTGAAGTAAAACTTCTTAGGCAGGTTTTTGTGGAGAGTGAATTAGATTGAGCCGTCAGATATTTGATGTGTAACGCTCAAACAAAGTCAGCTGGAATCAATTAATTGAAGTGTTTTTTTTTATATGGATTAAAATATCTCAAAAAATCGGATCTGCATACTGTAAGCAAGGGAATTGTTCAGCATTTCTTCCTCTCTGTAATGGGCTATTATTCAAAATTGTATCTTAATGCGACAACATTATAGAGAGGCAAAAAGGAAAAAAATAGTGTAAAAAACAAAATAATAACGGGTTTTGTGGAAGATATGGATTAAAATATCTCAGAAACTAAAAATCAGACCTGCATACTGTAAGCGAGGGAAATGTTCAGCATTTTATCCTCGTTATAATGAGCTATTATTTATAATTTATATTTTATATTATTCATCTCGCCTTGTTGATGTTTTCACTCCTATCGTGTGGCCTAAAGCACCCACCTTAGTTTTTTTTATGTATTTTTCCTTTAGCTATTGATTAATAAGCTCTAATTTAATCTTGTTCTTTTTCAATCAGATACACACCGATGATATTCTGAGAGTGGATCGGAATTATGGGAATCTCGATGGAGCTCGACCTTATCCAATAAGGCTGGTTGCAAGCACCTCTTCTTCAGATTATGAAAGCAACCCTGAACTTCTAGACAGCCCATCGACAGGAGGATACCAGTTCCCTGATGATCCATCATCATCATCGACCTTCTCATCGTCCTCATCAATCTTTCCTACTAGCAGCTGTATTACATAAATTTCTTACCAACTGCATTGATATAAAGTGACATTTCATGTTTATAGAGAGTAAACTGTGGCCTTTGAATATAAGAAATTATTTTTATAAAGACAAATAATGAATATTTTTAATATGTTAACATTATTGTTATTTCTGTTATGATCAATATGCTGTGATAAATAGAGTTAATAAAATTGTTCATTTGTAGATGTAAGCGACAAAAGCCAAACAGTACAATGTGTGCCTTATAACATATATCTGCAATATTTCAATCAATATAGAATCAAATCAATACTATTAATAAGTTGTTTTCTATATATTAATAGCTAATAATATATAGCAAACAACTTTTTCTCAAAGTAATTATTCCTTTCTTCTTGATTCTCTTAGAACTTTCTTCTTTAAAGGTCGCAAAATAAGATCTTTAGTCGGCATTTCAGATTCATACCCCCATTTTCAACAATACTTAATATCATAGTTCAATAATAGATTTTATTGCACATCTTTCTGTTGATATTAAAATTCTAAAATAAACTTATAAGATATTATAGTTCATCGTACAAGTCTTGAGGTAAGAACAACTATATTATTTATGTCTATAGAGTAATCTTATTATTTATGTTTCGCAATAAAAATTATATGAAATATTAAACTGTGATATTAAGCAAGTTTTGAAAATGGTGATACAGCCCCGAAACATCAACTAATGAATATATATTATATGGAAGATCTTATTTTCCTACCAATTAAGAAAAAAAAAATTCTATTTCAGAAAATAATGTATTTTCTAATTGCTTTCAGCAAAGAAATATTTACTTTTCTATTATTTTACCATTTATATGTTGTGACAATGTTAATTTCTCTGCCCAGTGAAAGATGTGTACTTAGATTTAAAATAATATATTTATTTTTTTACCATATTTTTGTTTAGTAATTTTCCAAACTGGGGACTTCTTCTAAGAGTTGGACTTCTTAATAATCAGCTGCCATTAAAGAGAAAAATTAAGACCATTACTTCAGTCTTTCTTTTATTTTTTTTCTAATAATTTTTTTTTATTTTATAATTTCGGTTAACCAATTCTTGATCTAAAAATTTATTAATCAATCTGCATGCAGAAGATTCAGAATGTTATCTATTCAAAGTCCATCGATAGCTTAATTTTCAACTTTGAACCATTATCAAAAGTCTACGGTATCAAGACTCTAAAAATGTAAATATATATTACAGCAGTTTTTGTACTGTATGGTTTCATATTACTTTAGAAGTAAATATATATTAATGGTTCACATTTCCATTATGAAAATATATATTTTTATTGTCATTAATTTTGATATTATTCAGATTATATTGAGATGTGATCTTGAAATTTAAATTTACAATATAAAGATACATGTGTGTGTACATGTATAATTGGCAATTTTAGCAGTAAGCAAAATGTAAGATCTAATTTAATTGGTACATGTTTTTAACTGTAAAATGCACTTTTGTTTGTGAAATAGGAGTGAAATGTGTCTAAGTAAATGACTAGCGATCTACCAAACATTCAAAATATAATTTGTCATTACCATTCAGACAAATGTGTTTCACAATTTCAGATTTTCATGCAACAAACTTGTTCTAGATATCCTTTTTTTTCTTAAAAATGTTTAAGTTCTATTCATAAAAAGGATAAAACTAGCGTAGCATTGACTATGTCCAATTATTATTTTACTTTGAGTTTCTTTAATAATATCTTCCAATAATAAGTTGATCTTATTAAAGAATTAAAACTTGTGATATCGGAAATAGGGAAATCCATAAATTAACTGTTCGTACAGTTTTTTTTTCGGAATGTTTAAAAAAAATAATGAGAATAATAATGGAATTATTGATATTTTTAATATTTATCCAAGTTTACCAAAATGATTTGTACTAAACCAAACTAGGGAATTTTAGTGTCCTGGTGTATTATTAGTAATTATATGTAAGATTTGATATATATTTTAATGATAATTAGAAAAAATGTGGAAAAACAGCTGTGATTTTTAATTGGAACTTTTGGATTAGTATTTTGTCAGATATAAGATATTCTCAACACATAAACTGCTGGACCAAAGTATTACACAATAGCAAAACTTTATCAATTATATTATTACATTTCAAATTCAACATTGGAAAACTGATTTTTTTTAACATATTCAGAAATAACTCGGAAGTCAATATTAGTTTTAAATTTCTTTGTTATTGTTTTAAAATTCTCAAATAAAATAATACCTCTGATTTATGCTGCTTCAATCATTACATCCTTAAAAACTATCATCCCATGTTTAAAATTAGTAAATGTAATTTTATAGACTTGAGCTAGGCAAAGTAAAAAGAAAACATATTCACTGAGTAACTGACAAAATTTAAGTTATTTACAACATTTTATTTGAACATTAGAAAAAAGCGCTATGAATGCCGATCGAAATCTAGATAGTTTTATTTAAAAATAAATTTCTATTCTACATATAATCATATATACATACAGTCACTTTCAAGTTTCCCTTTTTTGAATTAACAAAATGAGGCAGTATTTGTATTTTTAAAATTAATAAATTGGACTTTATAATTACTATTCTTCAAACATAGTAAAAGATGCGTTCTCTCAGGTCATTCATTTGACCAATAAAGTTTGGCCAATTACAAAGAAAAGAAAAAGATTTTTGATTGAATTCATACACTCCACTTAAAAAATTTCTAAGAAAATATTACATTTCACTTAAGTATTCAAATTAACAAACTTTTTAGTTTGATCTGGATTAATTTTCTTTAAACTTCTGTCAGGCAAGATGTTAAATGTTTCGTCAACCAACTGGTACCATACATCAAAATGATCACTTTGCAATTACCAATTTTCAGCAGGTGTACATAATATTGAATAACTTTTAAAAATATAAATACTATTGTAATATAACTAGTGAATATGGTTTTTACTAATATGGAAAAGGTTTATCCATAGTTATTAATGGTTTTGTCATATTGGTCATATAAACTCTTTAGGTTTATAATTAAACTTTATAGAATCATTTTTAGACAAAAAAAAACAATAACGTAAGAAAACATTTTGATTGCATCTCTTTCCTGGTTAAAATTATCTTTTATGTTGCCAATGTATAAATGTCTTTAATGCATTATTATATTCCCTACATTAATAAATTACTCCAGCTTCATTTATCACCCTAGGAATCTATTTATTTAGAACACTTACAAACTCTGTTAGCATCCAATGAAATTACTCATATTTTCTAAATCAACCTTGGACAGTTAAATTGTTAAGTTTCTTGTTGAGTTCTTATATGTTTCCACAATTCTTCGATATTTCCTTCTTTGATGTCATATGTCAAAAGCATAGTGGTAAATTATTTTGATATTGATAACTACCAACATTCCATAATTTTTTTAAATCAAGCCGTTTTTATTATAAGAATTACTTTTAACTTAACCAAATTTCTGATGTAATAAAACAGAGAAGGGTGTAATGTATCAAAATGAAGCTCTCAACAATTAGAAAATACTGGTGAAATAATTCAGAAACTGGCATTTATTTATTTAAAGTGAAAAGCGAGAAAGAAGCTGAGGGCCGCATCTTTCATATGTCAGGTATACAAATATTTAATTCTGAAATATTGAATTAATTTAACGTACTCCAAAAAAGAATAAAGATTATTTTACTTTGAGTTCGACTAAAATTGTATATGGTGTTCAATATAGTTGATTTAGTAACTTTAAAATTGCAAGATTGTTTCAAATAGCTAGAAGCATTTTGTATTTATGTTTCGAAAATCTCCAGTTACTTTATGATCAATCATGTTTCATTAAATTCTAGTTGCAATTCAAGATAATCCAAAAATGTAAGTAAATTTTTAAGATTAACTTCTGTGCCAGCAGCTTATGTAAAATTTCTTAATACTAAAAATTAAATCATTCCGATAAAATTTTACAAATATTTGCACAATAATTGTTTATTTAATAAAATATATATAGTTATTACAAAAAAGTGCCATGATAATCGTGTACATAAAAATAATCATTCCAAATAAATTGATGAGAAACAAATTTTATTTTCTAAATTTGTTACAGTTTTATTATGTCATATTGTATTTGAGTTTCTGTTGACATTTATTTGTAACCAGATTTTTATTAAATTTGAAGTGTTATACTATATCTTGTGCCATTTCTCTATTATTGTTTAACAAATAAGTATGTTTAGAATATCAAATATTCTTGTCTTCCATTTGTTCAATTCATGAGTAATAGTAATAATTACTTTTAGAAGATATTAATTTTACACATTTATGTTACCTTCTTTAGATTTATTTTATTCATTACCTGTAAGTGTAATAACTTAGCTTTAAATAGTTGTAAAATAGTTTATTTCAAAAAAGAATATAATTTAAAGTTGTATACATCAATTTTTATTGTTTAATCATAGAAGATCCTGTTTATTTTTGTTTTTATTAATTAATGAATTATTAAATAAAAATCTCATACAATGTTAAAAATTACTTAATGTTAACAAACTGGTGCTTTTTTTTTTAATTCTAATTTTAACAAAATTGTTAATTGTTGACAAAGACTTGTAACGATTGTATTTTTATACTTTCAAATATAGAGTACTTTTTGTACCTGAAATATTCAAGAAACAAAACTTATAATCCTTTTGTTAGTTGTAATTATTTATTGTTTGTTTAATCAGTTTGAACACCTCTCAGTGCTTCAAGTATGGTAGGAAGTAAAGGTTACCATATTCTGAATAGAGCATAAAGGTCTAGATTTATTTCATGCATCAGCCACAGAATAGAAGTTGTAAACCAACACATAAAAAATCTATCCAAACTAATATTCTACTAGCATTTTATCTGAGTGAAATAAAGCACCAAAGAATAATCAGAAAATATAATAATAAAAAAGGCTTGGCGAATCAAAAGGTTTGATGACAATATCACCAATCGCTGACAATATACATTCATCTACTGATCCTGTTAAAACTCAACCA